GTACGTGGGCCGGGGGGTCCCCGGGCCATATACTCCATCAGGAGGCCCTCACTCCTTTTGCCGAAAGGTACTTGAGGGAAAAGGAGTAAATGTGTTTGTCCTCTGATGTTGGCGTTTGCTTCGTTGCAGTTTGAAGAGTTGTGAGGAGTTTGCGTTTGCATGGTGTACCGAGGGCAGTCCCTCAGTCCCCCACATTTATGGGACTCGGAGGATTATGTTGATGCTTTTCGGGAAAATTTTGACATTTTGTATTTTTTGTGATTTTCCTGAAGGGGTCCTCCAGTCCCCCACTCCTTGAGGCACGTGTAATGTGGTAAAAAAGGAGCAAAGCAGTGCATGCCTCCAGTATAGGACCGAGTGCTCGCGCTTTTTGTTGCATTTTGGGGGGTGCCTCCGGCGAACTTCAACGAACTCCGGCGACAACTCCGGCGACCCTTTCAACTCCGTGAAAGTTCCTCGAATACCTTAGACAAGTTACTAACAAGGTTTTATCATCATAAAACCCATAGTAATACAAATAACCTCCAAAAGGTTATTTTCCGGCGAACCGGTTACTTGGCTTCTAAGTCCGTTCTTGGACTTAGAACCACCTTCCAACCCCTCATTCTACACTTCCAAACGTGTAGAACAATCCTAGGGCGTGAAATATGATTGAATAATCATATAAGAGGATTAAAGAAAATGAAATGGGATTAATGGAGTCCTTACCTTGCTAAACACAAGTTTTCCTCTCCAAAACCAACTTTTCCTCTTCTCTTTTCCCCTCCTTCTTCCTCCTTAACTCAAGTGCGTAGATGGTGGATGAAAATGGAGTATTTCCAGACCTTATCTCTCTTCCTTAGGTAGGTTGGCCGAGCTTATGGGTTTAGGAGTGATAGAGATACTCCTTTTGGCTTATTCACCAATAATGTGGGGGGGGGGGGGGGGGGGGGGGGCTTCTCCTATCACATTTGGTCTCCCAGTCCTTTCTCCCCTCTTTCCTCATGTTAATGTGCGTCTCCCCTTATTCATTTGCAGCCCAAAAACGTGGGTTGGCCCCCACTTATGTGGGAGGTCAACCCTTTGTGTCCCGGGGTGTACAATCGGCCCTGAAAGTTGTATTTTCCGGACTATTTTAAGTATATTTTATTTTATCGGGTCAATTAAAATATAACACTTGTTCCCAATCCTTATTGGACCTTAGAATCAATATGCATTCCCCAACTTTAATTTATAAGTCTCCGGAATCCCTTTTTGGGCTGTTATCTAATAAATTGCTGATACCGATAATTTGGCCCCGTTTGACCAACCGGTCAACTCTATGCCATTGCCCTGGCCCAATTAGGATATCCATCACCATATACATATTATCTAGTCCAAGATTAACATAATATGTGGTCCCGATAATATCTGGCGGCCCCACCTCTGGTGTGGGCCCCACGCGAATTTTACCATTCACGAAAAAGAAATGATAAAAATTTACAATTACGTAAAGATGCTTTTATTCATTTCTCAGGGTTCGATACATAATTTGATACAGTACAAATACTCGGGGGCAGTGTTACATTTTGTTTTCCCCAGACAAAATGTGTCTGACTATAAGACATAAATTAGTTAATTGTCTCACACTACTAATGTCTGACCCAGACAAAATGTGTTTGGGAATAAATAATAGATTTCCACCCTATTGTGTACCACCTTTCCAAATGAGATTTCCAACCGACTTCAAACTTAGCAGGGAATTCGAAGTCATATACCCATCATGTATACCATCCATATTTTATATTTATGAGTAAACCCTCCCAACTTCTCCGGTATCTTCTTCATGATGTACCATAAACACCATCGGTGTAGCGTATTCGGAAACACTATTTGGATGACGTTTTACATTGCTCGATCTTGGTCGGTAATAATTCTCTTCGGGGCACACCCGTCCATACACTCAAGCCAAGCTTTAAAAAACCACACAAACGTTTGAGTATCTTCACTTGCGATTAGCTCACAACCAAGCAATATTGATGGACCGTGGTGATTCACGCCTACGAATGGCGCAAACGGCATATCATATCGATTGGTAAGATATGTTGTGTCAAATGTAATGACATCCCCAAAATCTTTGTAAGCATATCGACATTGATTGTCCGCCCAAAAAACATTTCGTAAGCGTGACTCTTCACCCAAATCAAGCATAAAGAAGAACCAGGGACATTGAGCTTGCATTCTAAAAAAAACTTGTAATGCCACCGCATCACTACTTCCCAACCTAAGTTTACACACTTTATCTATATAGTTCCTACAATCCTTTTCAATGAAGGGAAGTTGATCATAACCACTGACTTCTACAACCGCGGAGTTGAAACTCTCATGAAGTGGTATACCGACGACATCATTGATTGCAATTTGCCTCATAGCTTTCCGTGTCAACCTCCTATTACACCGAAATAGTCTAGACATCGCAGGACTAATAGGATGGGTATGATCTAAAGAAACCGTTGAAATCACCCAACCTCCGACATAATTTATACGTGCTCTTATTTTGGCCTTGCAACCAACTTGCATTGAAGGTAGAGACTTCAAAACATTTTGTGCCCGACTTTGTCTATGTCCAGCGCGCCCGCACTCTAATGCAATTGTTGATGTTGTTCCATCCGCATCTTTCCTAGATTTCCTTATTCTAACAGGAAACCCTACTCTTCTTCCGTACTCCTTATAGAAATCACACACTGCATCTTTACTAGGGAACTCCGTACCAACAATGGGGATTTGAATACAAATTGGTTCTTCCTCTTATGAACAAGACTAATCGCTGACCATGCGAGAGATTCAAAGCTATTATCGGCCAAATTAGCCTGCTTGCTTTCTTCCAAACTAAAAACTAAAGCCACAAAACAAGACTTTCTCTCTCATATGTAGTATTTTTAGGTATTAGAAGATAAGTTTGCTAACATTTAATGACTATAATAATAATAAAAACTAGCCCTTATATAACACAAAAAAACTTATATGCTCATTTTTCATTTGAAGTTATGTAGTACTTTTAGTTACAAGATAAGCCGATTAACAATTGATCGGGAGAATTTTATCTCCCACATTTTGTCTGGCCCAGACAAATTGTGTCTGGCTGTAAGACAGAGATTAATTAATTGTTCCAGACTATTAATGTCTGGCCCAGACAAAATGTGTCTGGGAATAAAGAATAAATTTTCACGCTAATGTGTACCACATTTCCGAATGAGATTTCCAACCGATTTCAAACTCAGCAGGGAATTGGGAGTCATAAACTGCATCATGTATACCATCCATAATTTTATCTTTATGGGTAAACCCTCCCAACTTCTCCGGTAGCTTCTTCATGATGTGCCATAAACACCATCGGTGTCGCGTATTCGGAAACACTATTTGGATGGCGTTTTGCATAGCTCGATCTTGGTCGGTAATAATTCCCTTTGGGGTACACCCGTCTATACACTCAAGCCAAGCTTTAAAAAGCACACAAATGTTTGAGTATCTTCAATCGCGATTAGCCAACAACCAAGCAATATTGATTGAACGTGGTGATTCACGCCTACAAATGGCGCAAACGGCATGTCATATCGATTGGTAAGATACGTTGTGTCAAATGTAATGACATCCCCACAATCTTTGTAAGCATATCGACATCAATTGTCCGCCCAAAAAACATTCCGTAAGCGTGACTCTTCATCCAAATCAAGCATTAAGAAGAACCCGGGACACTGAGCTTGCATTCTAAAAAAAATCTTGTAATGCCACCGCATTACCACTTCCTAACCCAAGTTTACGAACTTTATCTATATAGTTCCTACAATCTTTTTCAATGGAGGGAAGTTGATCATACCCACCGGCTTCTACAACCACGAAGTTGAAACTCTTATGAAGTGGTATATCAGCGACATCATTGATTGCAATTTGCCTCATAGCTTTCCGTGTCAACCTCCTATTAGACCGAAATAGTCTGAACTTCGTAGGAATCATAGGATAAGTATGATCTAAAGAAGCCTTTGAAATCACCCAACCTCCGACATAATTTATACGTGCTCTTATTTTGGCCTTGCAACCAACTTGCATTGAAGATACTACTTTGCTTGACTTTGCCTATGTCCAGCGCGCCCGCACTCTAATGCAATTGGTGATGTTGTTCCATGCGCATCTTTCCTAGAATTCCTTATTCTAACAGGAAACCCTACTCTTCTCCCGCACTCCTTGTAGAAATCACACACTGCATGTTTACTAGGGAACTCTATACCAACAATGGGGATTTGAATACAAATATGTTCTTCCTCTTCATATTTTATTTTAGAAAAATATACATGTTCACTTCACAATACCAATACAACCATGTTTCCAAAAAAATCACACACATTTATATAGAAACTACATATTACCAATACAACCACGTTTCCAATAAAAAACACATACATTTGCAAACATTAAAAGTTGTTTAGACAGACGCAAATTTTATGTACGACTCTAACAACTATAAACCACGTTCACTTCAAACAAGTATGAAACCGCTTTCACTTTATGCTAGATAGATAGTGTAGTTCTAAATTGTTTGTCCAGCAAACAAAATACAAACAAATAACGAAAAACAACATACTCTTCTCCAAGACTTCAACGTCCACACCTTCATCATCTTCTTCCCTTGAAGTCGTCGCTACTTCAACAACGATCGGAGATGGCGGATTTCCACCGCCACCCACGTCATCAAGCTTGTCACCTTCATCTTACCATGTCAAGTCATCCAAAAGAACCTCATCACTAAACTCGGATACATCCTTTCCCATGATATCCATCCAAGAAATGAAAGAAAGAAGAAGGTGTGAGGATGAGTCGAGCACCGTAGCAATTTCGAAGGAGGAGGGGGGTTTTGGTGGAAAGTTGAGGAGTAGGTGGGGAGATGTGAGAGAGGTGAGAGAAAAGTATTTAGGGAAGGGTAAAAAGGATGGTAAAAAATGGGGTATTTATATGGGTAGGAAATGAGGTAAGTACGGATACCCTATCAAATTCAAACCCTTTAATATACCCTTGCGGCAGTCCTGTAATCCCGTCTACTATCTTTGGAAATCCATCTCCCACAGCGTGGCCCAACATCCAAAATTCGTACACTCCACAGTCACTCAAGGGCGTAGAACCGCAGAGGGCCAGAGGAACTAATCGGAAATAACTCAAATCCCAACTCTTCGTCCGTCCGCCGCAGAGAAGAACTGAAGAATCGCTATTGCTGCAAACTCACGGTCGGCGCACGGACTCTAGCTGAGTAGGCGGAGTAGCAGCTAATTTTCGTCTCTCATCTTTCGACTGCCATAGCGTGTAGTGCTCTGCGCGCTATTGTCCCTCTTCGTCGCCTCACCGGTAAGTTTGTTAATTGTCTAGTTTTATTGTATTTTTTATATTCAATCTAGGTCTTTATAGACTAAATTACATTATTTACAGCCTAATTTGATTATTTCGGGAATTTCAGATTAATGTTTTCAGGGATGGTTTGCTAATTCCAGTTTTATTTGACTATTTGAGTGAGACAGTGAGCCACTTATCAGTTTTAACAGTTATTATGAATTTATTAAGAATGTAATTTGTGATTCGTGAGTTGTAATGTGTTGTTTGTAGGCATCATTTATATTAGTATGGATTTTATGGTGTTTTGATAGTATTAATGTAATTATTTAGTTAGTTGGTATTAGTTTAGTTACTTATTGCGAGTAACTAATAATTCTATTATTTTCAATAAAGATAATGAAGAGATACTATCACCCAGTTGAAAAAGGAGCTAATGAAGATAGCTTATCTAGAATTGTAGTGGTCTCACCTACAATTCAAGAAACTTCAAATACAAATAACGCACAAAACATAAATAACAAACAATCATTGGATTGAGAATACCAATTTCATTATCAAACGATATCAATTGATGAAAACCCATAGAGAACAGTTGTAAAATTGTGGCTTTTTGTATTTGTCTTTGACAAAAACTCTTATTCCTATAATATTTATATTTTTGTCTTTGATCTTTTTCCACAATAGATGTTATTTTACACTTGAAATTAAATTCGGTTAAATGCACATTATTATATACTGCATGTTAATTTTTTCTGGCAATATATGTTATTTAGTTAAATTTGGGCCCTTCCTAGATTCCAAAGCTAGATACGCCCCTGATTATTATTTATTAGTACTCAAATTAGCAGCCATTTGTAGGAAGAGGCCGCCATTTAGAGTAATTAGCTCCCAAAATTAACAGCCTTTTATATAATATACCTCCACCAGCAAAGGCATTGTTCAGTTCTTCTAATTATTATTTTAATCTGATCATACTTGAAACTTGAAAGGTTACATTGTCATGTGGTTTTTTTTCACTATTTAGAAAACGACTCAAATATTTGTTTATCAAATCAGTAAAAGTTAAATTGAGAAAAGTAAAATTTAGGATACATTTTCTATGCTAAGAAATGTGGCTTTATTAGACCGATCTGTAGGTTTATAATATTGTGCAATTCCTTTTGTGAAATATATGATCTCATTTGATCATAATAAAAATAAATTAAAAATTACTCATATGTTATGTGTTCTTTATATCGGTCTCAAAAGTACCAATAATTATATTTTCTTTATTTGATCCCTTCAGACTTCAGAGTGATTATTTATTTACTTGCAGTTCTTGAAGCCTAGTAGTGTTATTCACTATATTGTAGAGGATGTAATGAAATATTATAAATATACACTATTCTCCCGGACCTGTTAAGCTGTAAGGGTAAAATTCATTTGTGTGTGTATATATATGCATGTATGCTGAAGATACATGAGATGTACCTACTACCTAGATCATATTATTTTAAAAACATATATATTTCACATTTTAAATTTTGATGACAAAATAATTTTTAGTTTCCTGGTTTTCTAGAAAACTAGTAAATTAATCCGTTGTAACCCAAATTTTGATTAAAAAACACCGAGTTGATCAGGAAGCCAAAACTCTTATTCAGTATCCTACTCGCAATTCTCTCCCCACGGCGTTCCTTTCGTTTTCCTTCACACTTTCATTCTGCATCATTTTGAAATTCTGCATTGATAGGATTCTTGGGTGACCGTTGTCAAGGCTACTCAGCAAAGAAAAATCTGTTTTGGGTAAGTTTGAATCTTTTTCCCTCAGTTTTTTAAAATATATTTGTCAAAGATGTATCCTTGAAATGGAAACTCAAAAAGTATCTTTAGATTCGTGGTACAGCTCAGTTTGTGGATTACACTTCAGAAATCACCACTTAGGAGATCAGCGAGAAGATGGCTGTGTAAGATATGGATTTGATTTATTATCATTACCCCCCGTGTTATTAAAGTAAACATCGCTAATATATCTCCTAGCGGAGCTCTTCATATTCATGAAAGGATGGTGTATGTATTTTGGTTAATGCTTTTACAGTGTTGCTTCTGCGCCGGGAAAGGTTTTGATGACCGGAGGTTATCTAATCCTTGAGAGGCCCAATCCAGGGATTGTCTTGAGTACAAATGCTCGCTTTTATGCCATTGTGAAGCCACTTTATGAGGAGGTCAAACCCAATAGTTGGGCATGGGTGAGTCATTACAAATCTTGAATATCCACTCAGTTGTAGCGTTATTATCAATGGAAATTGCCGTATAACGTGTATACATTCCACAAATAGCATCATATTTTGACCATTCTTTCTTTAGGAGCAGACAAGTAGTATTTGTGAAAGAAAAAGGGTCAAATAGATCCTTCTACTATTTTCAATCCATCACTTGAGTCCCTATACTAAAAAAGTATCAGATCAGTACGTTTACTTAAAAAACAGTCAATCAAGCCATTTTAACCTGCTATAACAGATTATTTTTTAAAGATTCAATACTTATAAAAATTCATATAAATTTGAAAATACTGTAATAATAATATCAAAATAATACAAAATCGAAGAGAGATAAACAAGTATAAAACATTAAAATAAAAAAATAAAAAAACAGAAAAATGAAAAAAAGTGGTAGTGTAAAAAATATGATAGTATAAAATTAAAATGTAATATTTTTTTCTTAAAAAGATGTAGAATATACAAATAGTTCCAAAATAAAAAATATAGACTTTGACATTCTTAAATTGTCCACAGGTTTTATTTAAATTTCTTCAAATTTAACAAATTATTAATAAGAAGTTATATAATACGGAGTAACATGCTATTACAAGTCAAAAATGGGTGAAAAGGCCTGATTGATCGACTTTTTAAAGTAATCGTACTTATATGATACTTTTTTTGTATAAGGGCTTTATTGATGAATCAGAAATAATAGAAGAATCTATTTGACCATTTTCTCTTTGTGAAATGACCATATAATCCTTGCAAGAATTCAGCAAGGCAATGCGCAGCCCAGTTCTGTTCACTCCAAGTGTGTCCAAACAAAACCCCTTTCCCTTTCTATTTCTGTAGCATTCCTGAACCGCACCCTTCCATCTTCCCTCCCCAATATCCGAAATGTAAGCTAAGGCTACCACAGCATCAAGCTCCATCTGGAAATCGGAAAAGCCAGCAGCAATCACCCAAAGAGTAGCAACAATCTCAGCTTCCAGACTTGAAGAAGCCGACAACAGACTCCATGATATTCTAATTACTGTAACTTGTATGGTCAGGGAGAGTAATTACATTATGCTCATGTGTACTATGAGTCAATGTGTGGAAAATGTAGAAATACCCATCTTTAACGAAATCATCAATATATTGTTCCTACCTAAGGCGATTTCTCTTTTATCAATGGTGTGGTGACCTGATTGGTCGTCTTTCAAGATTATTTTGTCGTAAGCAAGAATGGGGATACAAACAACAACAACAACATCCAAGCCTTAATCCCAAAAGAATTTGGGGTCGGCTAACATGAATCGATCTATGATATCGATGCCAAAAAGAGAAGGCGGACAAGAAAAGGAAAAAAAAAGTAAGATAAAATGAATAAAATAAAGATACATAAATATAAGATAATAATAACACAAGAATATAACCAAGATAAAAGAAAAATAAATAAAAGAACATAAAAAAGCTAGAAGATAAAAATAACATAAGAATATAAAAAGATAAGGAAGATAAACGATAAAAGAAACAAGAGAGGAAAGGTAGACAAGACATCAATCGTCCACATGGATGAAAAAGTTTAAGGCTTGACCCCTTTACTATATTACGTAACCTGGACGGCATGTGATTTGCAGGCATGGACAGATGTGAAATTAACTTCTCCTCAGATGTCAAGAGAAACTCTCTACAAACTGTCACTTAAACAATTCAAACTTCAGCCTTCATCTACACGGCAAGTTTGCTACCTGTCACTGAGTTCATGTTATTTGATCTCTCCATATTTTCATTATATGTTGTTTGATCCATGAATAATTAGAAATGTATTGGTATTGGTCACTTTCTGTTGATGGATGCACAACAGCGATTCAAGAAATCCCTTTGTGGAAAATGCAGTGGAGTATGCCATTGCAGCAGCTCATGCAACCTTTGATAAATATAAAAAGGATGTTTTACATAAACTACTTTTGCAAGGTAATATCTGGCTCTTTGATTAGTCACTTGATTATCTAAAAAATTGTAGTATTTTTTTATAAATATGGTGTCTTTATTACTACCTCCGTCCCAGCATAAGCTTCTCATTGAAAAATGACACGATTATTTAGACAATACCTAAATAAGGTTATTTGAGTATGTTTTGAGAAGTAGTTTTAAAGAGTATATAATATAATGAGGTCATTGACGATAACTGTGATGTTGTAGGTGTATTATTTTTAATATTTGATTATTAAGTTGACATTTAAGTGTTAATTATTTTCTAAAATAGAAATGATAACCTTTAACTGGGATGTCTAAAAGAAGCAAGTGAGATACTTAAGGTGGGACAGAGGGAGTATATATTACTATTACTATTATTAATTAGTAATTAAAAGTTTATCAAAAAAAGCAAACCAACAATTAACATTTTAAGTGGATTAGCCATGCAGGTCTTGACATTACAATCTTGGGTTGCAATGAATTTTATTCATACCGGAACCAGGTATTCAACACTCAAACTATTGAAGTATATTACAAACGATGTGTTTGCAACTTCACAGTTCACACTATAATGGAGAAACAAAATAAATAAATTATTAAACTAGTTGTAAAAAATTCACACCTTTAATCACTATTGAGTCAGAGCGTCAAATATTGGATGTCCAGGAGATTACACTATAATGGCCAGTTGGATAACATAAAATAAATAATATCGTGTACATTTTTATATAAAATTCCCTTTGTCCCAATATAGTTAGGGTTGTAGAAAAGGGCACACATATTAGAGTAGCATACAATAAACTGCATTCAAGTTTAAGGCTTTAATGTTGAATGCATTTCATTTACTTTCAAAGGTGTAAAAGTGTTTAATCTAGGAAGAATTAATATGAGCAAGTTTGGAAGATAAGTACGAATTATGCATTGAACATCTAATACGGGAAAACGTAACTGGCCGAACCATCTGACCTGTTGACACCACTCTGTGGACTGTGATGCAAACCTTTCATACCCAACTACATTCACGAGTGGGATTCTGTAATGAACTGTGGGGTGTCCTTAGGCCGTTAGAACTTAGACGTTTACATTGGCTTTGAGGAATGCTAAAGATATGTGGTTAAATAGATAATATCCACCTAGGCACCTACTTATCAGTTATCACTAATTAATTTGAATAAGGGTATGCCAATCGTTTAATTCAGAACTCTGTCATTAGACGAGCTGAATCCCAAGGATGGGTGACTGGATTTTGTCATACCCCTTCATATTTTGTACTGTCAACATTATAACCTTTGAACTCTTCCATTTGCAGATTGAAGCACATGGACTTCCTCTAACACCAGAATCTCTGGCTTCTCTTCCTCCTTTCACTTCAATAACCTTTAATGCAGAAGAAGCTGGCGGTGAAAGTAAAAAACCTGAAGTTGCTAAGACTGGATTGGGATCATCAGCAGCCATGACAACTGCAGTTGCTGCTGCTTTGCTTCATTACCTTGGTGTTGTTAATCTTTCCTCCTTGACCGATGATCAATTTCAAGGAAAGAGAGATGCTGATGTTCTTGACATTGTTCATGTGATTGCTCAAGCCGCACACTGCATTGCACAGGGTAAAGTTGGTAGTGGATTTGATGTGAGTTCTGCAGTCTATGGAAGCCAACGGTATGTACGGTTTTCACCTGACGTGCTTTCTCCTGCTCAGGTATGAACCCACACTTACCACCTTAAGGGTATATTTGGATCCTGGAAAGTGCTATTGAAAGGAAAACTGCCAATGATAATGTTTTTTAAGTGTGGTTTTACCTCGGAAAATACAACGGAATATCAAATTTGACTATAACTTTGTAAGATTTTTATATAGATTTAGATTTCTTAAAAAAAGATTTCTTATTTTTCATGTGATAGAATTGTATCATTTTCTTTTTCATTTTCATTTACCCCAGTGCCGCAAAGGCTCCCACCTATGGTGGGGTAAGGGGGGGTTGGATGTACGCAGTCTTACCCCTGTACTAAAGCACAGAGAGACTGTTTCCGGATGACCCATAATGAAAATCCCGTCCAAAATTGCATGGACTGACTGCTTCATAACAAAGAAGCGCAGACAGTTTAGTGAGTCATTTTGCTTTATTCCATCATAATCTCAAGCCAAAAAATAATGAATCTTTGGTTCCATTGCAAATGATGGAAATATGTGATAGAATTGTATAATAAATAAAATGAGTTCGAACAAGGAACTAAAATAGGTTAATTGAGTTTGAAGTATATTTTTTTCACCCAACTTTTTGTTTGACAAATTACCTATATTTTTGTTCTTTTTTTTCTTTCCCTACCATTTTAGGGATTCCAAATAGACACTAGAAAAGTGCTATGGAAAGGAACAAAATGTTAAGGAAAGTCATTTTCTTTGGGTTAGTTTTATCCCAGAAAATCCAAAGGATAATGAAGAATGGTCAATGTCTTCAAAAAGTTCACATATACTTATAATATGAAATAGATACATTGAATGAGCTTGAACTTATATCAAAGCTGCACTTAATTTGAGTTTGCACTGATGTTTTTATCTACCCACATTTTCATTCCTTCCAAGTTCCAACGTTCCCTTACATCTTCCTCCACATTTTCTTTTCCTTGCACTTTCCAAGTTTCGAAGAACCATTGATGTTTTCTTGTTTAAAATATAATTATTAACTGGATTAAGTTATGTTTTATGTCCTGGAATAATTAGCTTATGCTCCCCTTTTATTATTGTATGTATTTAAAGAATGCAGGTATGGCAACTCCACTGACAGAAGTCATAAGTGAGGTGCTAAAAGCAAAGTGGGACCATGAGAGGACTAAATTCTCTTTGCCTCCTTTGATGACTCTTGTAAGACATATTCCATATTTATTTTTGATGGTTTATTTATCTGCTACAAAATCTAAAATATGGATGGCATTTATCTGTGAAAAATGTGTTGTTTGCTATGTTAGGCAAGTAGAGAGACCTGTGAGATAATTATTAAAAAAGAATAGCGGGTAACCAATCAACCATTAGCTAACTGCGATTCTGTAAAAAATATTACCTACTCCCTCCATCCCAAGAGTCTTGATTAATGGGTACATATTTTTATTTTAATATTCTTAATTAACATAAATTTTTTTGAAAGTATAAATTATCACTTGTAGTTGTACCCTACAATATTTTTACTGTTTTTTTATATCATGCCTTGATCTCATATTGCTTCTATAATTTTGAGAGTGCTAATATAACGTGAAGCCTAAGTTGTTTTAATGCATTCTTGTTACACGAGCTTTATAGTAACATTACTAAAAATCATTAGTAAAAATTCGACTCCAAAAAACTTTTCAAACAGGACTATTTTTAGGACTGTGAGAGTAAGATTTTTTACTGCTGAAGACTGTGTCTTCTCATAAGAGTGCTAATAAGAGTGTTGTAGTTATTAGGAGAGCCAGGATCAGGAGGATCATCCACACCATCAATGGTAGGTGCTGTAAAAAAATGGCAGAAGTCAGACCCTCAAAGCTCACAGGAAACATGGAGGAAGTTACTGGAAAAAAATTCTGCTCTTGAAAGGAACCTGAATGCCTTATCGAAGTTGTCAGAAAGTGATTATACTTCGTATGAGTATATTATCAACTGCTGCAGCACGCTTCCATCTGGAAAGGTAAGTTCTTTATAGTACTTCGAAAAAATACTAAAATTATACGTAGTATTTATTTGAGTTTGAAACCATGCTATATTTTCCTCAACATTTTTTATAGAATATCTCCTGAATGCTTTTCTATAGCGTTTTCTGTGTTCCGTACATACTGTCGGGCAATGGGTATTGACATAAGTTGACCTTTCTGGAAACTTTTTCCCATCAACAGTGGAGGGAGACAGTCAGTGGGCTTCACCAAACAGAGGTCGTTAAGGAGTTGTTAGGAGCTCGGGACGCCATGCTTGGTATCAGATATGAAATGCGCAAAATGGGCGAGGCTGCCGGAATCCCAGTGAGTTCTCATCTACAAGAAAAGAGCCTTTTGTTCTATTTCTCCCATGAGTCCCATCCCTTGTGCCCCTCTCCCCACACAAAAAGAGAGTTAGAGATAATTGGTAATGGTTTTGAACAACCAGCTTTGAAATGTTGGACTGCTACGGTGCATTTAGTTATTAATTTATTTAGGTTACGTTTGATAATTGGTAATGGTTTTGTTTTGTGTATCAAATATTCAAATTTCATTTTCACTTCTGAAAATAATACAAGGTGTTCACACATGTTTTTTCGTTCAGTTTCTAAAATAAAAAAATAACAGAACGTTTAAATTTATTAGAAAGATGAATTGATTTTTTTCCATTGTTTTCGGAGACATGTTTCTGATTTTGAAATTGTTTATAATCAGTTATAAAGTATATAATCTTTTAAATTAAAAATAACGATCATACTCCCTCCATAAAAAAATTAGAAGAACAAGAATTATTTTTAAATAAAGTACAAGTTTTTATGTTTAATCCACTCAATCAAGGTACAAACTTTTGCAAGTTATGAATAGTCACGTGAAGTGCATTTCCGAAATTGTTTGGAGAAGTTGACCAAATCCGCTTGGTGCTTGGCTTTTTTTTTACCCCAGGGGTTAGGGGGAGGGGGCTGGAGGGAGTCTGGGTTAAATAGGGCTGAAACTCCCTCCATGGAGTTCCAAACCCGAGACCTCCCGTATGGGAGAGTGAGTTGGCGACCAGCTGAGCTGGCTTTACATGAGTTTTACTTGAAAAGTAGAGTTGATTGTTAAAGCCACTTATTTCTTGGACACAGAAGTTTTTGAAACATAACTCCTCTTTTGGGGGATAGAGGGAGTATAAATCACATACTTCTTCCGTTCTTATTTAGTTGCGTTGGTTTGACTTTCACATTTCCCGATACATGACTTTGACCATTACTTTATTTAATTATCGATTAGTAAAAATTATATTAGAAGTGATATTTTGGTAATTAGAATGGAGACAAAGGTACCATATTATACATGAATATTACTCTTAATACGCTATCTTTTTACATAATACTATGTATGATCTTCAATCCATCGCTAAATTATATGATCAATTAAGTGTTTGTGAATAGTACAAAAGTCACACTGTTGTAACTAATATAGAACATATATAGCATATAAATGTATAATAGAACACAGGGAGACATGTTTTATAATTTAGAAATTTGAAAATGAAGACAAAACAGAAGTTTATAGTATAGTGCTAATACTGCTAAAGACGTGGTGGTTGCTGGTCATTTTCTACCGCATATTAACACCAGTGTCTGCAGATAGAACCAGAATCTCAAACGCGGCTTCTGGATGAGACAATGAGCAGGGAGGGAGTAGTGCTGGCTGGTGTTCCAGGTGCGGGTGGCTTTGATGCCATCTTTGCAGTCACATTAGGAGGAGGCTCTAACACTTCAAGCACAGACAATCTCATCAGAGCATGGAGTTCGCGCAATGTGCTCACCCTTCTTGTGAGAGAAGACCCTCGTGGTGTTTCCCTGGAGAAGCCTGATGACCCTCGAATCCGGGAAGTTACCTCAGGTGTTTCATCTATCAAGATTTGATTTGAATTAATAACGGACAGATTAATGAGCATTTTTCTGCAGTACAGCTGAACTTAATAAATGCGTATTTACCTCTTCATTTTAGCCCTTCAGTAATAAAATAATAATGTGATGTTTTTGTTACATCGTTGGTTGTAGTATGGGTCCTAATTTAATTGGACCCGTAATGTGCATGTAAGTATTATGAGTCTAGAATGTATATTGTTCATCAATATGATTTCAAATGATGAAATGAATATTTGTCTAATATTTAATGACTATAATGACTAAATAAATATTGTATTGAATGAGTGAGCGAAGAAAATACATAATGGCTGAATGTTTGAACATAATCTTTCATTACCAAGTCCGTTTTTTTTAGCGTTTTTTGGCTGTACTTTAGCCTTTCTTATTAGAGCTAATCTGATTGTTTCTACTTTCTAGCATGATCTTAATAAAGTGTCATTTGTAGATTATTATTGGAGTACCTTTTCAGCTATTATTATCATTTTTTGTTTTTGTTATTAATTAATGTAATAACAATAATAACCTATAGTAGTACTAATAATAACACAAATAATACTCTAATATTTTGTTAACCCTAAATATTTTGTTATTATGATGTATAAATTTTGAATACAGTTATGATCACTAAAAATAATTTGTTATTATGAGCTTATTCCATAAACTAATTTGTTTCGTACCCCGATATTATTTTTTTTCTTTTTTGGATTAATTGATGACCATTTTTCATGCAAGGAGTTCTAAGAATATCTATTAAAATTCTTTCATGTGAGATATGAAAGAAATAGAACAAGACTTGGTGAAGGAGCAATTCAAATAAAGTTCTTGGAAATTAAATTATAGTTCAAAAAGCTCAGTATATTCATATAGGCAGGCATACATATAGTCTTGGCAGATTAAACTTGTTCGGTCACACTAAAATTGGCTAAATCGGTTGATTTTGCTAGATTTTATGAAGTTCTGACAGAAGTGACCAGATTGATTGATTCTATGGATTTATGAAAAATATTATATTTTAAATATTTTTTATTAACAAAATAAAGAAAAAACTATATGAAAATATAACTAAAATAATTCTCCACAATAACTTTAGTTAACACAGCAAGGAAAGCAACTTCAACTATATTTTTTCTTAGAGAAATTACTCAATATAAGAGTAAACATAAACATAATTGCACAAATAGGAGTTAAATTTAAAACTTACTTCAATAGAAGTAAACATTAGTTTTCTAACTTTAATACCCCTAACCTAATTTATTCTAAAATACTCCCTCCGTCCTTTAAAACTTTGTCAACTTTCCTTTTTGGATATCCCACTAACTTTGCCACTTTCTCCTTTAAGTAAAGAATTTATGGTTCCAGTTAATTCTTTCTTCTCTGCACAAACCTCAACCACACAGTTTTTACTTTATTAATCCTCGTGCCGGTCAAACTTGGCAAAATTTTAAGAGGCGGAGCCGCGGAGGTAGTATGATTTATTTGATCCTATTAAAATATACAAAAATTCTAAAATATTTTTAAAAATTATTTGAATTATAAAAATAAAAAAAAGAAATTTAAAAAGTATATAAAAAATTAAAAATAAATAAAAGGCTCTGAATTTAGGAATCCAGTGTTAAGTTGTTAGCCAAAAAAAAAGTAATAAAAGGCTCTGAAAGTCAGAAACAATGAGGGGTATGGTAGGCCACAACCTTGAAAACTGGATTTGAACATTTGTTTCAATTTCAACAGCGCATCCCAGTGGTCTCCTACCCACGAACTCCTTCCTTCGTCGTCAACATTTCCATGCACAGACAGCGCCGAGCACTCATGCGGACCCCACTTTTCTCACTGCATAGCAATCATTTGCCCCTCCTCTTCTTCTCTCTTTCTGCCTCTGCTCATTTCTATCTGTATCTCTTTGCTATTCACTCTTTTGTTCCTTCCTCAACAGGGTATATTCCAAAAGACTCGTTTTTTACCCACCTTTGAATCTTTCTGAACTTTCTATCTGCTTCCAAAAGACTCGTTTTTATGAGCTTTGGACCTTTAAGAAGGTTGTATTTTTTTAACCCCAATTACCCTCGCGGCGGATTCATGCTTGTTACTTTCATGGCTCCTCTAATTCAGTTATTTTTTAATCTATACATATAACACTTCTTGAACTTCTTTAACTTTCTCGTTTACCAAGTTTCTGATGTGCTGCTTCTCCTCGTGTTTATGTGTGTATGAGGGTTGATATTATCTATAGGCTGCTGAGGTTTTGGTTTTGTTTGGCTAGGTTGACTCCAAAATTTCCAGAATTTTATTCACAATATATTGAATATAATACTCAGCCATCATCTACGAAAAACTGTGTTTGTAAGGATGTTTAGTTTTTGAACAAAGCTGGTTGCTTTGACTTGGGGTTTGCATGAAGCTGGATTGAGTTGAATTCTTCTTTCAAGATTGCGACTCTTTTTGGTTCTTTGTTCAAAATTGCCATGTTTGGAATTAAAGTTCGACTATAAGTGGGGTTCTATAGGTTGGTTCTGCAGCTACACATGTGCTCAGTGGTTTGATTTACAAGGAGCTTCATTTATTTTTTGTATAAAACAAACTGGCTGTAATTAGAAGTTAAAGGATGTCCCAAAGTTCAGAATCACAGTTGCCTGTGCTACATAATCTATATTCTTCTTCTTGCTCCCCCTCAGCTTCTCCTCCTTTGCCATATGATGGAAGGAGGCGATCACAAGTATTGACTTTCAACACGGTTGATGTGTCCCATAGGAAATCACTAGATTTGGAAAGACAAGTTTTTCCCGAGTGCATAGGGGCATCAAAGGAAGAAAAGAAGATGAAAAATAGATCTAGACGTTGTTATAGGTCTGGGAAAGGCAAGTGGTGGACTAAAGAGTCATGTTTGGTTTGTGATGCCAAGTATTGTTGCAATTGTGTGCTTAGAGCAATGGGATCCATGCCAGAGGGGCGCAAAAGCGTGACTTGCATTGGCGATCCAATTGAGGAATCGAACCGGACAAAACTGGGGAAACGTTCGAGGGTGTTATCAAGTTTGCTTAGTCCTTTGGAAGTTAAGCAAATAATGAGAGCTGAGAAAGAATGCTTAGCTAATCAACTTAGGCCGAGTCAGGTGATTGTGAATGGATATCCTTTGAAGGCGGAAGAGATGGAAGATCTGTTTGGTTGCCCTTTACCTCCTCAGAAGTTGAGACCTGGAAAGTATTGGTATGACAAAGAATCTGGTCTTTGGGGAAAGGTAAACATCATACAATCCCACATTTACTCTTTTTTACCTACGAGGAGGAGATAGTGATATTTTGTTTTGTCTCCTTCTTTTATTAGGAGGGACAAAAACCAAAGAGTATTGTGAGTTCAAATCTAAATTTTACCGGAAAGCTTAGTCCTCATGCAAGCAATGGAAACACACAGGTCTACATTAATGGCCGTGAAATAACAAAAGTTGAGCGCAAAGTAATGAAGGTGATTTCTAGCTCTATCTTGTTTTGTAAAAATCTTGCTAGAAGGTGGTTGGGCATTATGGGCTTCCAGGGTTTCTAATCGGGCTCCTGGCTCACTTCGAGTGTATAATTGGGTGCCTAAGGTGAGCAGAAGCCATCCGGTCTTGGGAAGCCAAGGCTAAATGATCTCATAACAATCAATACATAGATACATGCATGCATCTAAGATCTTGGGTTACTCTATTTATAAAGTTGACCTTTTTAGTATGAAATTTGAAGTGGAAGAACACACAGATTTTAGATTGGTCTGTTCCAACGAACCACCATCTTGCGGTGGTATACACGTACAGACGTACTAATAACATATAAACTTGCTTATAAGACCTTACACTATTACTCGAATAAGATTAGATCTAACTCAACACAAAACTACCGTCTACATGATATAGAGCATAATGATATTAACAGTAGTATAATGAATACCAAAGGATTTCTTTGAAAAGGTAATGTGTGTTCAACACTTTGAGAGATTAGTTCATTTCATATGCAGATGATTTGAGAGACATTCTTTACCACTAATTAACCTTGGACGTTTTTCATCATGCCTTAGCATGCAAATGTTCAATGTCCTCGTGACACTCACTTTTGGGTATATGATGATGGCCGTTATGAGGAAGAAGGACAAAATAATATCAGAGGAAATATATGGAAAAAAGTATGTAACTACTTGCTAGTTATAGAGTTCAAATTTGGCATTAAATTTGGAGAGAAGAGCTCAAATCCGGACACTTTTTGTTATTATGTAGGCATCGACACGGCTATTCTGCTCCTTGTTTTCCTTGCCTGTACCTCATGCTCAGCCACGTATCCATAGGGATTCCCCTAGCAATTACAGTATTGTCACTAACTTTGTGGAGTGCAGAAGAGTTCAGAAGTTGCTTCTACTTGGACAGGAAGGCTCTGGAACTAGCACCATTTTCAAACAGGTTTATGCTTGATATTTATTGCCTCCACTTTTCATTGCGATATCCTTGCTAGAAGAAAATTTCACCTTTTAAGATCCTTTAGGTCTATTTGGTTGGAGAGGTTTAGAAGTCTTAGTCTATACTATTTAATAAAAATTAAAAGATTAACACAATATGTGATTGCATAACATTTCAATCACCTTGTTGTTTTAACAAAAAATGATTTAATTTATCAAGATATAGGGTAAGTCCTCTAAAACCCTCCATCCAAATAGACTGCAAGTAGTCTTTTAATCTTGTGTTTACAACCTCACTTTCTCTTTACTCCCATTTTACATAACTGATTTTAGGTTATTCAAGAGTGCTGTTTGTTTGTTTATCTAAAACAGAAATTACTGGCACATGATTGACTCATTGCCCATGCACATTTGTTTATAATTGTATCTTATAACATATCAGGCCAAAGTATTGTATGGTAACAAGTTCACTGTAGAAGAGCTACTAGACATTAAGCTTATGATTCAATGCAACATCTACAAGTATCTAAGCATTCTACTTGATGGACGGGAGCAATTTGAGGAGGAGGCCTTGTTCGATATGAAGGCACAAGGTTCTTTCCTTGAGCTACTCTTAGACTTATTTGTAATTAAGTGGCTATTTAGTTTCCAGCAAGATTTTTATCAAGCACTAATGCTGAATTGTTTAAGTGGAAGTGCCTAATGCCCTCCCACCCAATCATGAATTCTATCAGGTGAAGATGACCATTTAGTCTTGTTCATAAAATGTACTACGTATTATTTATTTATTTATTAGTTAAATATATTTGTTTCATAATTCAGCAATTTGAGCAACTTCAGCCAAATGCATCCTTACCAAACAGGTTCTTAACGTTGTGCGGAGCTGACATATTTACACTGAACAAACTTTCATAGTCAATTTGGAAAATCAATAATAAGTTTATGAGTTCTTTTAATGAATTACAGGGTGATCTTTATCTTTGAGGTTTCTATTTTGAATATAGGTGGTGAAGGTAATCAGTGTGTGTATTCACTGAACCCAAGGTTGAAGCAATTTTCTGATTGGCTATTAGATATAATATCCACCGGAGATTTAGATGCATTTTTCCCAGCAGCAGCTCGAGAATATGCTCCTCTAGTTGAGGAGGTGTGGAATTATCCTGCTGTACAGGCAACATACAAGAGAAAAGATGAACTTCTCTTCCTTCCAGATGTGGCGGGTTACTTCTTAAGCAAGGTTTGATCTAACCTTCTTACTTCTTTAGCAAGGTTTTGTGTTATAGAAGAATTCTTACTATTGATAAATTAGTTTAGCCAATATCATAGTTTGATTAAACCAAAATTTATGACTGTTTAAATAAAGATTTTAAAGTACACTTATTGAAACAACTACTATTTTGCATCTTTCTATAAGTTGATGTACTCGATATATTAAAAAAGTATGTTTTTAAAAGTTCTTTTTTGTTATCTAAAAATTGTCTTATTTCATCAAGCGAAACTAATTTTACATTATTACATGTAATTTTCTAAAGAGAGTTACAATAAAATGAAATATGATAGCATTAGTTAGTTAAAACAAAAAAGTACTCTGTATTATTTTTTAGATTTCTCCCTTACAAAACCTAACATTTGGACCTTGACGGATTGACCAATTATGGATTTTTTTTGGGACGGAGGGACTAATTTTCAAGTGCACACACATCAAAAGGTAGGTGTGGAGTAAGTTCTGTGATAAGGAAAATCTCTTTTTTTTCCTTCAATTGCTTATGTAGTCCTACCATGATAGTATGATGCTAACATCATTGCTTTAGAAGATTATAAAGAAAAAATTGGCCAATTTTAAATTTTGGAAGGGGCAGATTGCCAATAATAACGAGGGACTACATTCCTAAAAACGAGAGTATTCAGTAGTTCTTTTAGGAATGAGCAAGTCCTAATTTCAATAAAAACCCAATGATGGTCATATTCAATGAAATGTGTTATGTTAGTCTTAAATATGAACATAGCCTTGACCTTTTCTGCTCTCTTCTATGAACTCAAAGGCAGTAGAGGTATCAAGCACCGAATATGAACCATCAGAGCAAGACATACTTTACGCAGAAGGGTCGAAAGGTTTGGCCTTCACAGAGTTCTCCTTGAACGACCATAGCCCAAAGTCTGAAACTTCCCATGCAGCCGAGAACTGTCCAGAAGGCCCTCCCCCGCCTCTCACAAGGTATCAACTTATAAGGGTCAATGGGAAGGGTATGACTGAAGGGTACAAGTGGGTCGAGATGTTTGAAGAGGTAGACGCGGTAGTCTTCTGCATCGCCCTGAGCGATTATGATCAGGCGTGTTCCAACCCATTGAACAAAAATGGCAGTGGGGTCCAACTCCGTAACAAGATGGTCCAAAGCAAAGAGCTCTTTGAAATGATGGTAAAGCATCCCTCTTTCAAAGACACGCCCTTCGTCTTGGTCCTCAACAAGTATGATCTGTTTGAGGAGAAGGTTAAGAGAGTGGGTCTGGGTAGCTGCATTTGGTTCTCAGATTTTAATGCGGCGTATACTCATCACAACAACCAAACGTTGGCAACCCAAGCCTACTATTATGTTGCAAAGAAATTCAAAGACGTGTATTCTTCCATCACGGGGAGGAAGCTGTTCGTGTGGCAATCTCAAGTGAGGGAGAGGGCAACTGTCGATGAGGTGTTCAAGTATATAAGGGAGGTTCTGAAGTGGGATGAGGAAAAGGAAGAGAATGTTTATGGTGGGGGAGTTGAGGATTCATTCTTTAATAGCACAACAGAGTTAAGCTCAAATCATTTTCTTTCCCGGCTGGAGTGGAGCCACTAGTATGCTTTTCAAACCGGATATGCTTTATTAGCACTCTCATATGACAAATCAAAAATCAAATATTACAAGTGATAAATTTATAACATCAATGTTATCATCAATGACCTCATTATATTCATCAAAATTACTCTATACTTCTCAAAACATACATGAATTACTATATTTAACTATTATCTACCATGTCCTTTTTTGATGAAAAGCTTAAGTCGAGGCTAGGTAGTACTACCTCCGTCCCTCTAAGTTTGGGACAAAAAGGTGTTGTGTGGTTTTTAAGAAAAAGTATAATTGTGTGGTTGATATTGAATTGATAAAGTGTGAATAAAGTAAGAATGAATTCTAACCACTCAAATATTACCAAATATGGTATGAGACAAACTTAATTGGACGGACAAAAAAGATAAAATGGGAGAAAGTTAGGGGGACGGAGGGAGTACATAATAGCATAATTTTTCTAATATGACTATAATTGGTTTTAAATCAAACTCAATTGAGTTTAGTTAAAATAACTTAGATTAATAACAAAGGTGTTTGACAGTTTGGTGCGATGATTTATTGGGTTTGGCATACTAGGAATGCTTGTCACTTCGATGATATCACGAAGACTGAAGATGATGTTGTAGCAAAGATCAAGCACGTGGTTTACAAGATTCTCTACAACATCTATCCTTATAAATTGATCACTTTTTGATTTCTTTAGCCACGGCTAGTGTACGTTTCGTTGAACTTTTGGTGTGTGCATCTTGCAACACCATCTGATGGCTTGTTTTGCCTTGGTTATTTTTGGATCGACCCTTTATTGGGTGTGCCTTGCTTGATTAGATGGTGACCAACCTTGTTGGTAGGTTGCCTTTTAGTTTTGGACGCATGTGTACATGTTATTTTTCAGATGATATATATATTTACACGTTCATCCAAAAAAAATTGTAAAAAAAAACACCGAATGAACAAAGCTTAAGTAGGAAGTAAAAGAAGGCTCACAAGAAGTCATACGTTACGTAAGGATGTGTTTGGCTGGGGGCATATGTGAGGAAATAAAATAGGGATAAATGGTTTTTGCTTTACAAATTTATCTAAGCGTAGCTATGTAAAAATGTGTTTAGTAAAAGAGGATCACACTTTCAATACTTTTTTTCTGAAAGCCACACTTTCAATACTTCAAATAGTGTCCATATCAATGAATGATGTGGCCGATTAACACGAAGATTAACGTGTTTACAATAATTCAGACAATTGAGGGATGATAACACGAGAATTAAAGTGTGTATTATTTGAAGGATTAAAAGTGTGATTTCCTCTGTATAAGATATCTGCATGCTTCGTTTAAATTTTCATCTTTACATGTATGAATCGAATTATAAAAAGTAAAAATAATAAAATAAAAACAAAAATGCAGAGTACAATTAATCGACAGATTCATCAAGCAAACTTAGGATAATATGTTGTGGTGCACTCAAGGATGGCAGAATCTGGCGTCGGTTGGCCTGGGGTTTAGATTTTGTGGCACTAATCTGTGGCTCTAAAATCATTCCATCCTCTTCTTTTGTAACTGGAAAATCAATCCTTCCTCCTCCCTGAATGTGCTCCCTCCTTATCTTTCCCTCCTACCATAAAAAAGAAATGTTCAATTCCAGTTTGGGAATGCAAGAAATTCCTAATCATTTACAATATGAATTGAAAAGGCATTATTTTGCAAATTCAAGCAATTTGGTACTAAAGTATAAGCAAATTCACCTGATTCATCAAATTTCTGATAACAACTATTTTCGACTCATCAACACTATAAATCAATTTATTATGAAATGCATAACTTTTATTTTCTCACGCTGAGTAGAGTATTTATCAAAATAAATAAGGGTGGCATTAGTCTACTTGTGAAGCGAACCATTTTAGTGATTCTCTAAATAAAATATATTTTTGAAATGATTTTTTCAAAATTCAATAAATTCACCGCTTCAACAATATGTTCACCAATTTAACTGATCCAGTCAATTTAATCAATTTTAGTGTTATCAAATGGATTCACAGTGTTATTTATTCTCTCTGTGTTAAAATTATAAATTTTATATTTTTATAAAAATACTTTGAACAAAAAATAGTTTCGTATAGTTTAAATATTTTTGAGAAGTCAATATGACTATATTTTCCGGGACAGTTAATATAAATAAGAAGCAATTTTTTTGGCAAAACTTAAGTAGCAATAGAACTTTTTTTAGTACTAAACTTACATACAATATTACTGGTAGTTCTGGAAAAGGGCATTGAACCGGTGCTTCATTGATGAGAGGCTCGTCTGGATGCTCAATCGGCTTAAATTCAACCGCCGCACGTTCAACGTCGTGTGTGGTGGCGGCCGCCACCATGTCAACACCTGCAACCACAGCAGAACCACCACATTCGGCTGCCTCATACGACCTTGGGGGCAGTTCAGTCCTTTCATCCTGCGACATACGGGACCACAACCATGAGACAGGCAAAATGACGATACAATCAAGTACGGAATCAGAGCGGATCGAAAAGAAAATTTTTGATAAGAATTTTACACAAAAAAAATTTATACTAAAAATTAAGGCATTTTTAAAGGCTTAGACCGGCCCCCTCTATCTCCGCCCATGGGTACAATTGCCCATGGGTACATTTGACACTGTTTATTTAGCATGAAAATGATAAACGACTTTGATTTTATTATTATACGGTTTTTATATAAGTGAATTGTTATCGTAGTAGAACTAAAATTACAAGGGTCCTTTTTATATTTAGAGAGCCTCCCCATCCCAAGTTTGAGAAATATTTATGTAAGAAAGTAGACTTGAGAAATGGTATATTTACATTCATCCTCTTTTAAATGGTCATTTTTTACGTTTTCGATCAAAGATACTAGACGAAAGTATATAGAAAAAATGAGAATGAATATATAATAAAAATGATATGAAAGTATTTCTTATTAAAAACACTATTATAAAAGTACAAAAAACCGATAAAATATATTTGTCAAAAGGGCTGATCAAAACACTATTAAGAACAATGATGAAGTATGTTATTGGTAACACGTACAATTTTATGTCTCTTTCAATCTAGATCAAAGATTAATTCAATTATCCCAACTTCTTTACATATTTATATCAAGTAAACTTATTAGTAGGGTTGTAAACTAATCAAATAATTTATGCTCGATTCACGATTTGAATTCGTATGTATACGGTTATTCAAATTCGAAAAATTCAAATACAAATAAGAATACTAGGTTTGATTCGAATTGTTATCAAATACAAATAAGAATATCAATGTATTCGATTCGAATGTTAATCAAATATATTCGATAAATAATAGTGATAATATTAATATTATTATTAATAATACTCTACTACATTTTTAGACCTAACATAACATTGACATGTAACATATCTATAAAAGTGTTACTCCCTTCATCCCTAAAAGAACTTCCAACTTTCCCTTTTCGTCCGTCCCAAAAAGAACTTCACTTTCCCTTTTTGGCAAAGAATTTGTGTTTCACAACAATTCTTACACATTTCTCTTTCCTCTGTACAACTCTCCATCACACAATTCCCACTTTCTTAATTTGTGTGCCATTTGTACCACGGAAGAACATTTTGGGACGGAGGGAGTACATATTTCTCTAATGTAACACTTTTTGATCTAGTGTAACACCTTCTAGAAGTATAAGTGTTACATTAGGTACTATAAAGTGTTACAATATAGGTCAAATGCAACATGAGCAAATGTAATGGTAAAAAAGTGTTACATTTTCTCTAATGTAACACTTTTCATTGATATTGTAACACTTTTGGGTGATACATTAGGGGTTTAATGTTGTAGTGGTAATAATAGTGATAACATTATACCACCTCCGTCCACTAACATTGGGACGGAAGAAGGTGACCCGCTTATTAAGAAAAGTAAGTTTATGTGGTTGATATTGAATTGATAAAGTAAGAAGAAAGTAAGAATGATTAAGAGTCACACAAGCTTTATCAAATATGGTATGAGACAATCTTAGTAGGATTTCCCCAAAAAGTAAAATGGGACAATCTTAGCGGGACGGAGGGAGTAATAATTTTTAAAAGATAGCTATACCCGCAAAGTGTAGCCGATATATACATTTATGTATACAAATTCCAAGCCTATTTGTAATAAATCAGAAGTATCAAATAATTTTAATTCGACTCGCGATTTGGATTCTTTTTTTTTTAATTTGAAAATAAATAATATAAATACAAATAATAATCAGTTTTTGGTTCAAATATCTTTCAGTTTTTGATTATTCAATTCAAAGAATAATCAAATAAATTCATTTATACATATACAAAATCAACTACCTAATATGCATGTGTGTGAGTGAATCAACTATCCACTATAAGTGTGTATAGTTTAAATTATACTCCGTACATCTAATGGTTTTTTATTAGTAATAATGCTAAATATCTAACATAAAATTAGAGTTTTTGACTTTGATATATACAACTATCAACTTATTTCACACATTATAAGTATAATTTCTAATATACGTGTGTTAGTGTTTATTTGAAAATGTTTGAAATAGATGTATATTTAAAAATCATAAAATTGACTCACTTTATTATATTGTGCACAACCTAAAAATGCATTGATCCATTATTTTTTAAGAAAAATGCAATGTTACAAATCAAATTCTAAAAATACATAAAGTCATATCATGCATTTATAACATAAAAATATAGGAAAAGTTATTTTAACTGATATTTGACTAATATTTAACTTATTCTCAAATCGATTGGATATTTGTATATGATTCGTTAACTATTTGCATTGTTAAACAAATAGAAATCAAAATTAATATTTATTTCATATTCGAATCCGTTTTGATTCAGTTCGTTTATAACCCTACTTATTAATTTTGACCCATTACATCATGTGAAAATCAAATTTTATCAAAGAAAAATGTATTTAAACAGTAAATATATTTTTACAAAACCATGAATGAACTGTTGGATTAGTATATCGAAAGTGAAAATTGAGATTGAAGTGTCTGTTTTTTACAAATTATAGATTTATGAGATAACAGACCTAAAAAGGACTAAATTAATTCCTAAATGCACAAATAGGACTATGTTATTTATTTTCCTCAAATAGAACTAAAGTATACTCATTAATAGGATAATCATATTTTAATTTGTAATACATACAAAAAATCGTAAAAAAGTAAAAAAGAAATTAAAAAATACGAAAACCATAAATATTAAAAAAGTTTTTTTTTTAAAAAATAAAAACTTTAAATATAAATAAAAAATAGATAAAACACCTCAAAAATATAAAAAATATAGAGGCCTTCATACGGTCTCGGCTGCTGTCCATAAACTTTATCTCTGATCGGCTAAAAAATATCATTTTGTTTAAAAACTATCATTTTTTCTCTGAATATGTGATGAAGATGATATTCCTACTGTTGAAAATGTCAAAAATTTTCTCGAAAACTGCCATCAATATGACATTTCTGGCATATGTTGGCATTTTTTTTGGGTGATCGGGGTTGGTAGTGCCGGGAGTTTGCTAAGGCGGCAACATAGGCTTGCATATTTTTTTTATTTTTTACATTATTTTTTTATTTTATTTTTATTTTTAAGTTTTTATTTTATAAATTATTATTTTTCGATTTTTTTTATAAATTTTAAATAATTTTTATTTCATGTTTTTTCATTTTTATTATAAATAAAGTATTTATTAAAATTCCTTTAATTATTAATGAAATATGAATTGTATTAAAACAAAGAAAGGGTAGAATTGGAAGCTAGTCCTATTAAGAGAATTTTTAAGTTATGGTACTATTTTGATAATTAAAGTTTCATTTAATCCTATTTGGAGAATTCTACTCAGCACAATAACTAGACCATTAAATTGATTAAATAACTAAAAAAGATATCTACGATTGTGCATATCAGAACGTATAATCTTATTCATGCATTTAGATTAACTTTTAATCTTATTTAGAGCCATTACTATTTAATTATATTTCATCCACTTGGAATCACTATTTCAGACAAATCTATAAGATAAAATTATATATATATATATATATATATATATATATATATATATATATATATATATATATATATAAAAGTTTCAAAAGAAAAGTGGCATTTTATTCTTAAAATACGATCCCTTCTTTCATACAAGAATTAATATTTTGGAAAAACTATCAAATAAGCCCTCAAACTTTCATAAAAAGTGCAAATAAGCCCTTTTATAGAATTCTCTGTCCGACTGTCACCATTTGGATCGGTTTCCGGTAGAACTTTTTGATGAATTTTTTTGAGAATCTTCTTCATTAAGTCTAGTTTACGCATACCCAATTTCAGATAAAAATTCAATCGTGAAGGCAGTCAAATGAATTTTTGAAGATAATTGCACAGTTAGGCAGCGCAGTATATTTTAGAAAATCGTTTGACTGTCTTCTCGATTGAATATTTAGCTGAAATTTGCTATAGGTAAACTCTACTTAATGAAAAAGATGCTCAAAAAAATTCATCAAAATCTTCCACCGGAAACCACCCCAAATATCGACAATCGGACAAAGCCTCCTATAAAAGGGTTTATTTGCACTTTTATGAAAGTTTGAGGGCTTATTTGATAGTTCTCCCTAGTATTTTTTAAACGCATTGTTTTCATACTTTATTCTTAAAATTTATAATTCTTTTAATAAGATATTCTTTTATTTTGATTAGATAAGATGTATTGTATGACCAAAACAAAAATAGTTCTATTTCTTAACTTGATTTTTTGTTTTCCTCTTATTATTAAAAATTTCTTAAATAAGAAGAAATTGTCCTTTCATTCTTTATTAACTGTAACAATTTAATTTTTACAATATTTACACAGAATATGTTAACCATATTTGATATTTTGTATACAAATGTAAGAAAATCATGTTTCTAATCAATATGCATAGTATAATTTGGATACATATCTTAGCTTTCCTCCTACAAGATAACACATTTTTCCAAATAGAAGTATCAAGTTTTCTCTGTAGAATACTAGCTCCGTAACTCATTCCTATTTTGGAAAAGTTGTTTTTGTTTGTTCTCCTGTTCTCTACTTTTTGTTTTAAAAATAAAACATGCTTAAGATATCAAGAAATTATATATATGTAAAATTAAAATATGACTGTAAAACTAATATCTTATTCCTGTTTTGATCATTTCTGATTCAGATATTAAAGTAAAATTATAAAAATGATTTTTCAAATTTTTAAGGTAGCAAAGAGGTGAAAGAACTGTATATAGTTATAAAAAATTGAATAAGAGATAAAAATAGAATCAAGAAAAGCTCACAATAATGGCACTTCGACTTCTTCTATGGGCAGCCTTGTTACTTGAGGAAAATCTGGAAAAGACGCCCACCATGTTTTCTCTCCTGATCTCTACCTGTATATATCTCCCAGTCCGAATGTGTATGTATATACGGAGTATATGTATATATATATATGTGTGTATATATATGTGTGTGTGTGTGTGTATATATATATATATATATATATAATATTTATAGAGTCAGATCAAGAAAAGAGAATAGGAAAAGGAAGAAGAAACGATAAGGCAGTGGTGGATCGGAGTAAATAAAGGGTGGTCCGTTCTGTTTCTAGGCCAACTCTTCCATCATCATCATCATTGTGACATTAAATTAATGATTTTTCTCCCATCCTTGTGAGTCTTGGTATTTTTAAAAGAATGTTGTGATAGAAATTTTCTTAAATGACACGTCTATAAAGTGTACAAATAAAATCATTGTTATATTTCTAAAACATGACTCATTTAATTCGAATTGGAAAAAATTTATATTTTTAATAGGATCAAATATGTCATGTTTGTGAATAAAGCATGAGTAATCATATTTTTGCACTTTATCTAAGTTGTTACACTATTTGGCGCAAATTCTTTCATTAAATGGGGTAAAATGCACAAACACCGTGCACCTTCATCATTGGTATTGTTATATGTAGTAATTTGATACATTAACTCATAAATGAACAAATAAGTATTATAACTAAACATAAATGTTTCAAACAGTAATACTATACGAATTTTCGGCTGAAACATCATACGTGATAGCCGGAATTTCATGCATACAGTCCGCCGTACATTAATGACATGAATATAAATAATGTAGAGTGGAATGTACCAATTAAGGTTCATTTAAAAATTAATGTACTAAATTGCAACATATCAACCAATGCAAAAAACAGGAGGCTTGTCACGGATTTTGTCACGACCAGGTGGCCAACCGTTCAAAAAATCCGTGACAAGGTAAGCTCATGTTTTACAATATTGGTGACAACCCGGGCGTGACAAACTGTTAGACGCCAACTACTTTATGTTCACCCCCACTAAAATATACGTACTGTATTCTGTAGACCCCTATTCAATTAAGGTTCACAAAGATTAAATTTTATACAAATCTTCTTTTTAAAAATGGGTTAGTGGGTTTTGGCGGAACATCTATTACAAACAATTCCCTAGAAAAGAAAAGAAAAAGATAAAGAAGACATGTGGCTACAAGGGACTGGGCATAGCGGTCTATGCGTGCTTATTAAATACCCACTTCTTAAATAGTTTTCCTTTTAGAAAAGAGGCTTTATTGTTCACTATTCAATAGATAAATAGTTGTGACCACATCTGTTCCTATTAATGGTTCGAAAGCTTGCTTCATTTAAAACTTTTATGGGATAATTTGAGTTTGCACCCCGTTTTATTATCCAAATTAAAGTTTGCATTCTATTTTTGAAATCATTAGTATTTGCACCTCAACCTTGTATGAAAAGACAAAAATGTCCCTCGATCATGATTATGTTGAAGACCAACAAAATTGTTAATTGAAGGACATTTTAGTCTTTTCGTACGGGGTTGAGGTGCAAATACAATAGATTTCAAAAACTAGATGCAAAGTCTAATTTCGACAATAAAATGGGGTGCAAACTCAAAATACCTCATCTTTTATTGACAAAGAATGGTTGAATTGAGAAGTAAAAAAAATGTAGTGAAGTTTTGTATTGAATTTAAGAGATGAGGACCTTTGAATTGAATATTGATGTACAGATATCAAAGCTATTATTTCAGTAGTAGAGATAAGAAGATGTTGTTAACCTATGTTGATCTGATCTATAACAAAATTAATACAATTTGATTTCTAAAAAAACTCAATTTAGTAGAACCTTTATACTCTCCCCCTTCACCATACGACTAGTGCAAAGAAAAAGTAAAAACTACCAACTCAAGCAAGGTTTATTATATTCATGTTTATTGCATGTCTTCTCACACAGATTTTGAGTAATGCGGCTTATAGTCTAGTGTCTACAAATTAAGATCACCCCGTTCAACCATTCTTGATGTACACATCCTTGTACACACCTTGTACACACCATGTTTGTGAAGCTTTTTTTTGTCTGTGAATCCGGTTCACAGACAATATTTTGTTTGTGCAAAACATTGTCTGTGAATCGATGTTCACAGACAAAAAAAAACTTTCACAGACATATGTGTGTACAAAAGTGTGTATAAAAGTGTGTACAAACATCATTTTTCCACCCCATTAGATGAAACTCTCACCATACTGTTGTCACGAATTGAACATGAGACCTCAACTCAACCGTCTCACTCAGCAACCGTTGAGCTACCCATACAGGTTACAAATATAACATTATTACTACCAGAAAACTAGCTTACAATGACACTTTTTCATGACATTTTTTCTAATAGTGTCACAAAAGGATGACATATGAGATTCCTAACAAATATGTGTTGCTAATTCATGACACAAAATTATCAATAAATATAGTGATGTTAAATGAAATTTTTGATATCGTATTTCCCGTCCTTTTTTAAAATTTCGCCCAAATTTTACTCCAGCCCTAGGCTATTCGCTTCATTGCTTCATCGTGAAATTCTAAAATTTAGCTCTCAGTACATGACAACTCTTCTCCGCCTTCTCTCTTAACCGGTAGAGTCGTTTTCACGTTCTACGCCTGAGCGGCAGCGATGCCGCCGGCGGTGGAGCATGAATTGGCCACCGGACCTAAAGCTTCTTCCTTTGCAACAGCGGTAAGGGATATTATCCTCCCGGCTCCTTTTCTCCAAAGTAGACTTCCAGGGTTTTCCGGTGAAGTTGCGCGGCCGATTTAAAGGTTTTCCAACTGTATCGTTCACTGGTGACGACATTCAGGTATTATCCTCTAAATACCGATTTGCCCTGGTTGGGACCTTCCCCCTCAAATGTCCTCCCCTTTCTTCAATTCGGAAATCCATGGACGCGATAAGGTTTTCTCAACCCTACTTCGTGGCCTTTTCCACTCGCATCATATTTTGTTTAATTTTCGTCATGATGCGGATTTTCAAAGATTTTGGTTGAAACCCACCTAGGGCTACTTCTTCGGATCTACGATGCGAGTCACTAGGTGGACGCCAGCCTACTATGTGGACATTGATTCTCCTCTTTGTCCCGTCTAGATGGCCCTGGATGGGCTACCAGTTCATCTTCATGATATTAGAGCTTTGTTCTCTATTGCTGGATTACTAGGCCGGCCTCTAAAAATCGATGTTCCTATGGCTAACTTTTCTCGTCCCTCTACTGCTAGAATTTTGATTGAAATTGACATTTCTCAGGATCTTTCTCCAAAATTTTGGATTGATAATGGTGACTCAGGATTTTTCCAGTCTGTGATGCCCTGGTACCTAAAAAGAATAAGCTTATGTTTTGGGATTGCATCTGTTGTTTTGTTTTATATTCCCGGTCCTTGTGTTGACAAATGCTGGGTTGACAGATTATGATACCTCTTTTGATGATACAAACATTATCCCGACAGTTTGTAGACTTGCTATTCATGATAAAATTGAGGTTTCAAACATTGGCTTTACAGATTCTGGTGCCCCAACTGTTGCTACAACTAATGCAAGGGCAGTATGTTACTCCGATCCTACAATGAGTCATTATGACATAACTGCATCCAATGATGAAAACATCACTGTACAACGCCTAGCTGGGTTTGAAAAAGATGAATCCCCGGTGGCTACCCTTAATGTGGCGGTAACCAAGGGATACATTTATCATCCAGCTATAGGTGATTCGGCTAGTGATCCCTGTGAGGCCCAAAATGGAAATGATGAGCAAGTTTCTGATCCGCCGAGTGAGATGACAGTTAGTCAGTTACTACACACGCCCCTTTTCTGTCCGGTGATGAAACTATTTCTGAGGACACTCAACTTCTTACTTCTTTTGTTTTAGGTCATAAAGATAATCCTCTGGTCGAGGAGGATCAGCTTGAAGGCTTCAATTTAGACTTGAATGGAATTGAAACCTTCTTGTTCTAAATCTCTATACGTTTATATATTCGTTTTGGAAGGAGCTGGTTTTGTATGTATTAAGAAGCAAATTTGATGAACTCAAGGTATGAATATTTCTTGTTTGTATTATTTTAGAGTTGAACGAAATGATAATTGTTAATTTCTGTAGTAATAAATGTTTTGTATTCAAAAAAGCTGGCAAATATGTTCTTTAGTTTATTTGAAGGTATATTTCTTAGAGATGTGCATATTCATAAATCCTAACATTTTGTATACAGGCTTTTGTATTTTGTTCTTTATTTTGTAGATAAAGATTTATCCGCCTTTTCCAGTGTTATACCAAAATGTTTGTTACAAATTGAAGGTATGAAAAATTGCAACGGTGGGATGATGCTCATAGATTTAGTGCATTGTCTTATGTAATGTTGCTTTCACTTGCAAATTGAAGGTACGAAAAATTGCAATGATGGGATGATGCTCTCAAAGCATACACTGCTAAGGCATCACAAGCTTCAAGTTCTCATCTTGCTTTGGATGCTACACTAGGTTTGTATTTTCTAATATCAAGTAACATTGTCCTCCTGCTGCTGAGCAGTTGTTTGGTTAGTTATCACTATGATAGGTTCGTGCTAAAGTTGAAGTGGTTCTTCTTTGGATTTAGCCTTGGCTATGACATACTGTCTCTAGCAGTTGGGTTTTACACGCTCAGTTTGGTTGTGTGTAATGCAATTCTTATATGCTGCTATGTATATGGATTCCAATTGTTTCTTACTGTCAGTTCCATTTTTTAACTTTGCCTAGTGACTCTGGATGGTAGTTAGCTGTCAACAACACTCATATTATCTTGTCCAAGGCCGAGATCTAGAGAACAAAAGTTTACTAGAACTGATTGAACAATGAAACTCAGGATCTCTGATTATTTCGAGAGAGAAACAAAGAAATATGAATACACAAGAATTAATTGATGCTAAGGCCCCATTAACTAGAGCATGTTCTTTATGGATTTATAGTTTATATCCATTCACCGGTTAAATTATAGGCTTTCTATGCTTAAAAAGTCTCAGACATGGGAAACACATCTTCACTTGTGTGTACTTTGTGATATCTGGACAGTAAAGATTTTAAATTTATGCTTGGATGGTTTTAGTTGCTTGTTAGGTTCAACTTATTTTCCCCCATCTTTTCTTCTGATTTATTTCTTAATTACTCTTGCTTTATGCTCTGGAATGGAGATTCGGATAATCAGATCTGCTGCAATTTTCAAGTAATATTTTTGCATACTGTTATTAGTGTCACGCTCCCTGACACAGATTGATTTTAATATATCAATCTTGTAATGGAATGTGAGTCACATGAGTCTCTCAACACATCGCTCTCATGCGATAGTTTTTA